TCCTCGTTATGCCCTTGTGGAAGGTCCAGATTTTTTGCATTTCCAGATGAACTCGCAGACCTGAAATGTGCCCCGTTAGCTTCCCCGTGAAAAATGCTATCGAATGATATGCATTACTTCCCCAGTTGAAACTTGGTTTTTCACCGTTTTCAGCCTTCCCCTATATATCCCACGATTACTGCCCCAAAATCTCAAAGTTTCATTTTTCGTCGAAACTTTGTCTATTGGGGTAATTCGATGCCCTGATTACGAATATGACATTCATTTTTGATGCTGGTGTCATTTGGCGCCAATTTGGCGCCACGGCTGTTTTCACCAAATCTGCTGAAACTTCGTCATTTGGGGTTATTTGGGGTCCTGATTACGAAAACGACACCCGTTTTTGGCGCTGGCGCCATTTGGCGCCACCAAATCCGCTGAAAACGTGTGTATAGGGGTTATTTGGGGTCCTGATCACGAATATAACATCCAGTCTTGACGCCGGCGCCATGTGGTGTCACAAACAACACTTCACAGTCAGAGCGTACTCTTAGGCACCTTTCTCAGAGCGCCGACTGTCAGACCGTGGAAAAGGTCATCGAATCGGAGACTTTCCCACGACAGGAAGGAGCCAGAAGCATGTTTCACGTTTTCGACAACGGAGAATAACGATGGCTCTTGCTACTCTTTAGCGACACAATCGTCAATGAGAGCTACTGGGCTTAGCCTTGAAGGACGTGTACGAGACGCTCAAGTTGAATAATCTGCACTTACTGGTTGCGATCCATGGGGTTGATGTCTGTGCCACTATGCCATTCATGTCAACGATCCATGAGCCTGATCAACGACGAACGGCACAACGGCTGGATTTGCAATCGTCGAGCGTGCCGCACTGGACCGTCGAACGAGACCAGGGTCTACGTTCATGCCCGAAAGGATTCCTTTTTCGAGAACTGTAACTTTCCTGAGTCCACGGTGTTCGCACTGCCCTATTTCTGGCTGCGCGACATGGGCAAGGTGAAGGACAAGGAATACGAGCTCAACGTCGGCCACACCAGTTCACTTCAGTGGGAGCGGTTCTTCCGCGACGTGTGTGTGGGGCATTAGGAGGAACCCGCCTATC